TCAGTACCAGTTGTCACCTTCAATGTAGCAAAACTAAATGAGTGCGGATGGTATTTACAAATAGCTCACAATGACAACTCGCACACGTTCCCCCCTGCAACACAACCTTCCCCTCGCAATCGATAAAACTTAACACCGTCAAAACAGGCCACCCCGATCTCGTACCATCACCTCCCTCGACCACCATCAACCTTCAAGAGCCAACACGAGTGTCATGAGCCCTCTCTCAAAGCAGCTGCTCTAAATCTTGATCACTCATTTCCTGTTGCACGTCAGAAATTGGAGGAATCTCGTCTCATTTAGGCGCCGCGACAATCTCGATGACGTCTGCAGTACACGCTCACTCAGACCCCCCCGGCAGGGCCAATTTTATTCCAGCTGACCTTCATTTTCGATCAAACTCCATTTGTCCGCTCCTCCTCCAAGACCGAAAACACTTGCGGGCTGAGTCCATCTTCAAATGAGCGGAATGCTGTGATACGTTTTCAAATTGCTCTCCAATCTTTGCCCGGCCCCATTATCCACAACACATTGCGAGTGCTGCTGCACAAGATGCCAGGAGTCAATGCGGTTTGCATGCAATCACGCCTCGTGCTTGCTCAACCCAAACGCCTCCGACACGCCGCGTTACAAGCTCCGCCGTGACAACAGGAAGGCAGGATGTGGAAACCCAGTGGCAAGGATTTGCATGGCTCCCATCAAAGCCTTTGATGCCCTCGACCACCAGCCTTCCACGGCTCATCTCAAACGTGCAAAAGCAGCGCTTATTTAAATCCCTTCACACGGCTGTCACGTGCCTTTTTTTGCACATAACGCCGGGGGTTTATTTAAGCCCCTAAACCGGACTGCCATTGTCTGTGTATATTTTGCAGTAATTTTGACGTTTGAATTTTGTTCAATTTTTGTCCGGTCATAATTTAAGACCATGATTCTCAATGAAATGCTAATCATGTCACGCAACACTATCCGCACCTTGCAAGCCAATGTTTAATTGCAGCACAAGAACAATCTATGCCAGTAAGTACTTTTGCCAACAACAGATCGCCCATGTCTAACCGGTAACTCTGCCAGATCTACCGTGATTATGGAAATTCTACACGGAGGATGGTCAGCGCAGCGGATACTCTGCCTCCTCTCCACGTAAAACACCTACAGTATCTTCTTGGTTCTTTCGGTAAAGTCACGTAGAATGGAAATAATAAAATAATAAAAATAAAACATAATAAACGTAGAATGGAAATAATAAAATAATAAAAAATACACTTAATAAATAATGAAATATATAATTACTTTTGTTATGCATTCTTTTTATTACTTTATTATTTCCATTCTACGTGACTTTACCGAAAGAACCAAGAAGATGAATCCCTGCAGTCACGAAAGCTTTAAATCGAAATACCTACAGTATTTACACATCCCGTCCGTGACACAACCTTTCGGTGTGCACAATTTCAGAAACATTGGTTCAACACAAGTAAATTTCGTTTTGGACATTCATTGTCGAATCAACAGTCAGCCTTGCTTAAACCAATGCTGGTGAAGGGGCCGATATTTATATTCTTGGGTCTTTCGGTAAAGTCACGTAGATGGTTAAAAGAAAATAACAAAAACTAAGACGTTTAGATCACAACGCAAGCGATCGTAATGTTTCCTCCTGATGACGATCGCTTGTGTGGTAATCGAAACGTCGTAGTTTTTGGTCATTATCTTTGAACCATCTACGTGACTTTACCGAAAAACCCAAGAAAATGAATTCCTGCAGTCACGAAAGATTTAAGTCAGATATTTATCGGCAAGGACCCCCGTGGTAGATACGGCTCTTCGTTCAACATCGCTGGCTTGCGTATTCCTCAGTAAAAAGAAGCGTACATTCTGCAGAATCTTTTCGGGAAAGGTGTCCTATTCCAAATCTGCAACATTTATGCATCAAGAAAAGCAGCGCTCCCCCGTGACCCTCCGCCACCCACTCGCCTGCCAGTGGAGGCACTGGGGGATAATCTGGCGCGTGCGGCGACTGGCGTGCGCTAAGTGAAGCGATAAGACAGCTCCACTAATCACGCACCCCCCAGGACCAGAGTCATCGGGCGGTTCGAGACACAGTCAGCTGGCCCAGAGCGCAACAGACTTTGAAGCACGAGGCCATCACGCCAGCTGCCTCGCCTGCTGTACGGCAGATGTCACCTCCGTGACTCGGACCGGAGCAGCGGACATGAACCTGGAGCTGCCCTCGCTAACACGGGAGGTCTCTGCGTTGCTGCCAGGGAGAAGACGTAGGGTTACCACCTCTCCGGGTTTGTCCCGGACAGTCCGACGATTGGTATATCGTGTTCGGGTGACAGGAAATTATTTGTGCTGAGATCTGCTGGAATTGTGCTGAGACGTATTACAGGATACTACACAGTTCTGATAGACCTAGGCTGAAAGAACAATATATCCGGGTTTGGTCTGCAGTGGACATGGTGGCAGACCGAAGGACACGGAGAAAAGTAGCGTCGTGAGAAATGTACGCGCAGCAACCTGAGAACGATTGTTTAAGGGCGCTTTGTAAATGTCAATTATCATCATCATCAAATGAGGCACGCGTGACGTCCGTCACACTCTGCACGAGCCTGCGGGATCGATTGCTAAACGACGCCCCACATCACAATGCATCCGCGACATGCGCCCTCACGCTAACGACGTCCCGGGTTTCATCTTCTTGGTTCTTTCGTAAAGTCACGTAGAATGGAAATAATAAAATAATACAAATAAAACATAATAAAATAATTCCCACGACGTTTCGGCCACAACGCTAGCAGCCGTTCTCAGGTGACTGTCTTCCCGACAGACCTGTTCTTCACCTGAGGACGGCTGCTTGCGTTGTGGCCGAAACGTCGTGAGAATTATTTAATGTTTTATTAAAATTATTTAATTATTTCCATTCTACGTGACTTTACCGAAAGAACCAAGAAGATGAATCCCTGCAGTCACGAAAACTTTAAATCGAAATTTAGACGTCCCGGGTGTTTAGTAGTGTAGTGATATCGCTGGATGGCACCACGCTGTAAGTGCAGTGCCGGCCCTACAGGACAGGGTGTGTGGGTGCCGACCGAAGGATGAGGTTGTGTGAGGCCATGGCACTTTGGTTGACCCGGGAGGACACGTGACTGGTACTGGTAAGAACCTCCTGGTTACACCAGCTCACAGGGGATTATTCTGTCCGTACGTCCGTCCGTCGTGCAGGGAGGGGCTGGGTGGGGAGGGAGGGGATGGGTGGGGAGGGGAGGGTGGGGAGGGGCTGGGTGGGGAGGGGCTGGGTGGGGAGGGTAGGGCTATACTCAACGTTTAACCTACTCACGCCGGCTTGTGCCCGCCCTCACATTCGGGCATATTTGTGGAATACACCACGCCGCCGTTGACCCTGGCCATTGACCGAGCAACTCAACATTCCTACCAGCTCCCTCCGCAGGAATGTGTTTAAGTTGACAGAGGGGCCCCAAGAGGGGGCTAGGGGGGGTCACGTGATTGGGACCCAGCTCCTTCCCGAGGATTCTAGAAGGTGGACGTGGCCAAGGGCGGAGCCGGCCACACCACGGAGAATATAAGCAGGGTCCCGAGAGAGACCAGGGTAGTTGTTCATCCTGGAAGAAACCCTTCGTCTACGATCTCCGTTCAACGAGTCTCCAACACGTGGACCCGAGCCGAAGTCGTTGGTCCCGGTCCGTAGTAGCAGTTACGTTGTAATTAATATAGTTAGCTGGGTGGTCACCACCGTAGGTTGTTATTCTGTTAAGGGGAAGCTACCCCGTGTGTTGGAACTGAATAAAAATGTGTTGCCTCCAAGTCTACGTCTGCGACTCAGTTGAACCCGTTACAGCAGTACTCTAGAAACATTTAGTAGCCTAAGCAGCGCTGAACCTGGATAGTCTTCGGATGTGTGACCACCACGCACGAACAGGTTGCCATAGTGGTGGGCTATGTGATGGGCATTAGAGGGCAATTCAGCAAAATATCTTGGCAGGTACTTGACTTCGATACTCCAAGGTCTATATGCTCCCTGCCGTCACCAACCTGCACTCACCAGAGTAGGCCTGCACGGCGTGGGGGAGGCCCTCGTCCAGTCGTAGATCGACACGACAGCCAATACGTGGACATCTCATTCATAAAAGCGGCTTAACGTTACACCCCAATCAACGGAACCATTTGGGCCGAGTCTAGATGTTGTGTGAGGTTAGTCACCATAACAGATGAAGCTCCCAGTAGCCTGGCACATTGCTGATGTCAATGTGCACCCTTTCAGAAATTCAAATAAAAAAAATAACATGTCCTGCATTCTGTAACTAATACTGTACCACGACCACAATAAAATGCATTCAGCACCTTTAAATCGGGAACAGAGATGACAGTCAACCGTAGTTTAACAGCATTTTTTTTTAAATAGCAGGCGCGGCACACAATGCATAATTTAAACGTTATTTTTTGAGACACGGACACCGTGACGTGGGCATCAACAAAGAATCACAGGGATTTCTATAAATGTGTGAACCTCACTCGTCGCCAAATTTACAGTCAACCGGCAGGGCTGTGCAAGATATCCAATTAAACCTGCACACTTATGTTTTTAATATTTAATGGCAATTTAACGATAAGCCATTTTATTATTTAAATATTGCCTTCCCTTCAAAGTATGTAATGCAGCATTATTCCCAATCCAGCACCAGTTTGTGAAAAATGCAGGGTTCCTCCGGAGTTCTCGCCTGCATGCCAAAACTATTCATCACTTCGAGCCAGAGGTGACCCCTTTGAGAAGTCCACGTGGATGTCTGCAGCCTGTAACCACTCTCCCATGCTCATTACCGACAAAACAATACAACTCTTGTGCTGCATTATATAACCGTCAGTGTGCGAATTATATAACGAGAATAATGTGCGCAGAGAGAAGTATCGCAATAATGCCTGAATACAAACAGCACAGCGTTTTTTTGAAAAAAAATATGGAGATTTTATTACACAATCAAGGGGGCGAAGTGTTAAACTCTTACAGAAAGATGTACTTCCGATTGAACATCCGCACGTGCAAAGGGTCTTACGGGTTACACCGATCGGCTGGATCCACGGTGGCCACAATCATCGGCAGGACATGCCCACGAGAATCGAGGCAATTTGTGCTGTGGCCAGAGGTGAAGGGCTACGGCCCTCGCAGGCGCACACCTAGGCAGGCCGTCCCACACAGCCTTGACGCTTCATTAATGAAAAAAATTAACACGTAAACACAAAGTTTATCACATAAATCCTTTATATGCGTGGCAGCTAGAGTCCTCTCGTCCTCTGGCTTGAGATAGCTGCCACCTATGGGTCAGATGATTGCCTGCCACCATTAAGCAATTGGTAATTAAATATTTAAAAAAAATTCCTAAAAAGTGTAAAGTTATGGAAAAAAACTTTCACGAAAATAAATTGTCACGCACAACGAGTCTGTGTGCAAAATGTCAGCTCGATTGGATCACGGGAAGTGGGTTAAAAAACGACCTGAAAGATTTGCACGGGCGTAAGCGCGCAAGCAAGCAAGCGAGTGAACTTAATATAAAGGATTTAAAAAGAAAACACTTTCAAGTGGCTCTCTGGAGCACCGTACCGCACTCGAGTGATATCACTGCCGTGCCTTTGTATCACCGATGATGCGAGTCAGCCACGGCGAGCCTGGCGGGCACTTCCACAGTCACTTGAATGTGTTTCATCATTAGCCACGTTTCAGAGTGCCCAGACGGTCTGGAACGCGCCACCGACGTGTTTATCCACAAGAAGACACTCTTTGCTCTTTGGGTTCGGTCTTTGGGTGGCAGGGTAGTGCAGTGGTAATGCTCGTGCCACGCAGCAAGAAGGGCCTGGGTTCTATTCCTGACTTAGGCATCTTTCAATGTGGAGTTTTAATGATCTCCCCCTGTTCTGCATCGGTTTCCTCTGTGTTCTCCGATTTCCTCCCATAACTAAAAATCTGTACAATGGAGCCGATATTGACCAAACATCCCAATGCTAAAAATACCTGCAAATTACTCAATTGAGATTAAACAGCAACATTTCCCTCCCCTAAAAAACTTGGCACAACCGTCCTGAAAGAGAGCATTGAGACTCACTTAGCCCTTCCCGGGTAAACAAGCAGAAGAATAATAATAATAAAAAGCCTTCTTTTGAATACAGAGTATTTCAAATATATAAAATTCTGGTGAATACAGTTACAGATGTGATTTTCAAAAATATTTATTTTAGTAAATGTAAATAAACGATAAATATAGTTAGCATTAATAATCATGTCCATCTTCTTGAAGTGTTTATTTTTTTAAAAAGCCAATTTAATTACACGTTCGCTATCTGTGTCAAATCCGGAATTGAAGAAATGTTAATTTGAACCCTCTCAGAGCAGAGCATCAGCCCGTGTTCGAGAACGGTCCACAAAAAGGGATATCACAGAACTAGTTCTGAGTACAGAGAGGGGCCTTCAAATGGCCCCTCTCTGTACGAGAGGCACTGCACGCTATCACACGCCCTGCTTAACAGATTCTCGTTATGTGGCAGCCACACTCAGATGTTTTATTCTGGGAGCTGGATTTTACCAAACAAGTGAAAAACCAAATTTTGATATAATGGATCTGGGTACAGTCATTGCTAACAATCCTGACACCATCAACTCACTACATTTGACAATCTGGTTTAATCACAGACGGCTGACACCCATTTCAAACTCAGGAATCAGCGGTGCTGGCTCAGTGCTGATCTGAAACACCCGGCCACCTCGAGAAGTGTTGCATTTTATTTGACAGATGGTGGTGCCATTATTTTTCCTATGACTGACTCTACAAAATAAATGTGCCCATTGTTTCCGTACTATATCTTGATGTTGTGTCGCATATATATGCTAAGGGGTGGCTCGCGAAATAATTTAATGTTACTGTGGACACATGAGGCTTACCACTTCAAAACAGTCTGCAAAACGATATTTATCCATCACTACACGCAGCCTAGTAGCACTAATCGGGCACTTGAGGGGAATATTTATGACCTGGCAACAACGCTGCGTGTATCGTTTCTTCTGCCACTGCAAGGGCCTCCCAACACTCGGGCAACACGCGTGTTCCCGTTAAAATTATTATTGGATAACGCTACCTTGTGTGCCGATGCGTGGCCCGCCAAAGGTATTTGAAAGTCCTATTCGGCCGGCGCAGGGTGTGAAAGCTTCCCCAGCCCTGCGCTATAAAACTCCACTACGTATCAGACGGTCCTCTGCTACGGTGACCCGGAGCCGTGCTGCTCGGCGGATTTTAGCCGCGTCGCGCGGGCAGACGGGTACGCGGAGCCGAGCGGTTGCGCTCGCATCCCAGCGCCGACGGTGACAGCGCGTGGAGGCTCCGGCCCCGAACGCCGGGGGGTGCGGCGCACACGAGCGACGAGTTGGGGAAGAGGCGCACGCGCGAGTTCAGCAGCCAGCCCAGCAGCGGTTTCGCGGAGCAGTCGCAGCGCCACGGGTTGTCGTGCAGGAAGACTTGCTGCAGCCCTGCAAGGTGCGCACAGCAGCAACACAACAACGACAGCCGCCATTCGCCACAAGCGTCGCCACGTCGTTTGTTGCCAGGCGAGGTGAGCTTTAGGCCACGTGAAATGTGGAAGGCTGGCAGATCACGAGATTGCGATGGGTGACAGATACACCACCTGCGCTGCCCACTGTGGCAACAGCGGCACACAGACACACGCAGTTGAGCAAGCAACCGACTTTACACCAATCCTTCTAAGCCATCATCATGATCAACAGCAAGGGTCAACCCACTGCTGGATAAAGGCCTCTCGTAGCTGTTACCACCTCTAATGGTGCTATGATGTGACAATCCACCTAGCACTTGCATATGAGTGGATATCATAATTGCTCCATCAATCTGCGTAGATTGTCTCATGCATGTGTTCCTCTTTATATCAATATAATTCCAAGCATGCATCTCTCCATGCTTCTTTGAGCATTTTGTCCCATTTTATTCCATAACCATGCTTCTTAACCACGTGTCGTATGAACCGATTTAAAACGTTCCTCTAAGGACAAAACATTCCTATTGCATGGAGGTAGCTGCTTAGACTTTCTTTCTCCATTCTATTCAAGTCCCATCCAGTCCTCGCATCTCATTCCACTACGGCCTTCCACAATTCTTTCTAGATGTGAAGCTATTCCACAATTCTCCCACCTCACCCTCGGTCTCCCTCTACTCCTGCCCTGCGCCGGTGGCATCTCCAAAGCCCTGCCGATTGCCCACCATCAGCACCACAAGCTGTCGACGTGCAATTGCACTGTCCTCTCTTGAGATGTTTTGAGACATTGCTCAAAACATTTCCCCTGCTGTCGTACGCTTACACTATGGAGAAGGCGGCATTTTCATATCAAAGAAGATACGCTGATTTCATACAATCTACTTAAATGACCAATCCAGGGAAATGTTGATTCCGGTTATTTATTTGGCATAAAGTACTGCCAACCCCAAAGCTTGAGAATGTTTATTTTTGTATGTTTTAGTCAGAGCGGTCTCACTAGTCTATTGCTTTCTGTGAATGGGGCTGGGGGTTAATGACACTGACAACTTGAGCCAAACCAACTCGAAAATAAACTTCAGGACTTTGAATACGGAAACCTTGTGCAGAAACAAATTGAATGCGATGGGGTTTTTTTGTGCAGTCATTGGTGACCGGGCCGAGACCTTCAGCCCATTGCAATTGAGAACACTTTTTAACCACAGGCAGCTGAAACTGAGATGCCAACAGTACTTGTCTAAACAGTCTGTTACAGGCTACATGTGGGATCTTTGTCATTATCCTTAGTATGTTTGTATACGCGTGGTCATTACGTGTTTGCTGTGTGTCACTGGACACCCTCTGGTCACCATTGCAATTGAGACGTTCCATCTCAAAGAACTTTCCAAGTAACACATTTTTCGATTTAAAGCTTTCGTGACTGCAGGGATTCATCTTCTTGGTTCTTTCGGTAAAGTCACGTAGAAGGGAAATAATAAAAAAATAAAAATAAAACATAATAAAATACAATTCTCACGACGTTTCGGCCACAACACAAGCAGCCGTCCTCAGGTGAAGAACAGGTCTGTCGGGAAGACAGCGTCTGAATGAAACATGTCGTGAGAATTATTTAATTGGTTTATTTTTATTATTTTATTATTTCCCTTCTACGTGACTTTACCGAAAGAACCAAGAAGATAACACATTTTTATTACAGGTAATCGCGATAATGAGAAGCCGCTGCTCCCGGACACGGTGTTTTCTGTGGGGGTGCGCGCTCTAACCGGACAGTCGCGCCAGCGCGCCGGCGTCCAGCGTGGCGAGGCAGTTCCCGCTCAGCGCCAGCTGTGTGAGTCGCGGCGTGTGGCGGAACGCGGCCGGCGCCACGTGGCGCAGGCGGTTGTTACTGAGGTAGAGCTGCGTGAGAACGGCCAGGCCACGCAGCGCCTCCCCGCCCACGCCCGCGAGCCGGTTGTTGTCGAGCACCAGCATGTCGAGCCGGCGCAAGCCCGCGAAGAGGCCGGGCGGCACTGCGCTCAGTCGGTTCCCGCCCAGGTTGAGCAGCTCCAGCCGGCGCAGGCCACGCAGCGCGAGCGGGGAGGCGCGCGCGACGCGGTTGTACGCCAGGTCCAGCACGCGCAGGCGCGGCGCGTGCCGGAAGAGCAGCGCCGGCAGGCGTGACACGTTGTTCAGCGGCATGTCCAGGTCGGTGAGGTTGCCCAGGCCACGGAGGGCATCGGGCTGCAGCGAGAGGATCTGATTCTTGCCGATGAGGAGGTAGCGCAACGAGACGAGGTTCCGGAAGACGCCGGCGGGCAGCTCCCCGAGCTGGTTGTCGTAGAAGTTGAGGGTCACGAGTTTTGCGGTCCCGGCGAAGGCGTCCGGGTGCAGCTCTCTCAGCCGGTTGTGCTCCAGGTTGAGGCTGCGGAGGTTCGGGATCTTTCTCAGCGTCCCCGCGCCCAGGCGCCCGATCTTGTTCTGGCCTTCGTCATGGTCACCATTGCCACAGGGGGGAGCGAGCGTGAGCGAAACGATGAGGCTGGCAGGCAACGTGCCTTCAACACCGCCGTCTACATAAACCGATGTGTAATTACATGCCACATTTACTTAACGTCTTTAATTACCAAAGTGAGTTAAATGGGCACTTGGTATTAAATTATGCTACGTGGAATAAATGTGTAGTGCCTCCAATTATGTGTAACAAAATGTGGCTTTAAATCTGTGTAAAGTCTAACTACATTATCATTAATTTAACAGTATTAGATTTTGCACAGCTGCCAAATCGCAATATTTGGCAAGGGCGCGACAACGTTGATTCAAACAACTTTATTGCGCGGCACCGTAACCGAATTACAAACGACTTATTGGATGATCTTTTGGGACAAGAATCTGGCAATGAAGTTAACATCACCTGCATATTATGCAACATTTCAGATTTTCTGTAAGTATAAGAATTCAGCAAAAAATCTGGTCCTACATAAATTCCACAAAAAGTAAAAACAGATAACGTGTTTTAATCAACGTTCTAAATGCTGCGTCACCCCTTATCCATTATGAAACTGCTACTTGTAACACATTAAACCATACAAGTTCTTCCCCATATTTTCATTCGTCTTCAGAGTTAATTTGCTACTGTTGTAAAGCATCTTCAGATGTAGTTCCATTGAGGCACTACATAAAACGAAGCGTAAAATGCTACCGTCCACATATTTCATGACCCGTTTGCCTGCACTAACTGCCCTAGGTATTCATACTCTGGTGTGTTAACCAATGACCCTAAGAATAAAGTTTACGATCCATGCTAAGACATGGATCGTAAACACGGACACTGGCAAATGAATATGCAACAAAATCCGAAAAATGCACAAAGCAGAGACGCATACTTAGAATTCCACAGAAATCCAGAACTAGGAGCACATAATATACATACACAAGTGAAAGTGGTCATATTTCTGCTAAGAAAAGTGGGCTTAGGCAGACCAAATAGTGAGAATGAAGGCCAGCGATCAAGACTAACGATGGCAACCAAGAGGACATCCACCGAGCAGCAACAGCGACGAATTGCGACCGTCAGGTAACAAACTCGAGCAAGCCCTGCATTGTGAGAAGCGGGCAAGAAGCCTCACCCATGTTGAGCACTGCGGTGGCTCGTGGCAGCGCCGCCGGCACCGCGGTGAGCCCCTGCGTCTTGCACTCGACCTGCAGGCCCGGCCGGTTGGCGCGCGGTGAGCACTGGCACGCGGACGGGCAGTCCGCCGCCCCGGCTGCTGCACACAGACCCAGCGCCAGCAGCGCCATCGCCGGCACAGCGACCTCCGGCTTCCCACACGGGGGTCGCGCGCGCCCCACGCACGATCGTGGCTTCCCCATTCTCCTCCCGCTCGCAGGAATGCCCCGACACTGACCCACCAAGCCGGTAATCGAGTCCACGGATGAGTGTATTTGCGTTAATCTAAAAATTAACCATCGCTTTGCACGCTTGAGCGTGCATCTGTTCTTCGGAGCTATTCGCTTTGGACTAAGAGCAAAGAAGATCTGAGGGCTGGCAGATCGGCCGAGTATAAACATACCTCACACGGGGTACGATCACAGTTTGCCGATGGCGGTATTTGTTTCGGTGTCTTGACAGGCCAGCCGGTGCGCATGCCTCCACATTCCCCGGCAATAGTGAGCGCATTGTACGAGCATTGCACAGCTCGGGGAAAAGGCATCATCCATTACGCTTAAATGAGCTGGCGTATACAGCCTCTGCGCCTCTGAGGAAAGGTTAGCGGCTCATCGCCGTCAACAACAAATCATGACGGCACATGGCTGGGAACACAATCCTGAAATGTGGAACTATGAATACCACTGTAAAGTTTTCTAACTTTGGACACAAACAAGAAATGAAACATTAAATAAAGGACTTAGACAAAGTCTTCCCTTGTAATGAAACATTGATAATTAAATTATTCACATGTAGGGGTGAGCGGTGGTGCAGTGCTTCAAGCATTGCCCTACGAACCAGGCGATTCCCAGCCATGGCTGTATGTTGAACTTCTTTCGCACCGTACGTAGCCAATGGTGCTTATCGGAGATGCGATAACGTCGGGTGGCGAGTGATATCCCAAATGGTTCTTGGCCCTCCTTCACCAACCCAAACCAGTGTGGTGTTCAAACAATTCCCACACTAACAGTGCAGCGTAGGAAGGCCTTCATCCAGCAGTGGATTGACAATGGGCTGAAAATATATTTTTATATTTATTCTTGTTGGTGGCTCATATAGATTTGCGAAACATCCAAACCCAGTGTGTTGTGAGGTAGCTCAGAGATAGCAGTATGCGAAGTAGGTTTATAAACCGATCTATTTGGATCTCTGATATCCATATTCTTGGGTTTTTTCCGGTAAAGTCACGTAGGTTAAAAATAAAAATTAAAATCACGTTATTTAATTTTAAATTTTTACCTACGTGACTTTACCGAAAAAACCCAAGAATCCTTGCAGTCAAATCTAGAACTCTGATATCCATTTGTGGGTGAACTTTTTCCAGCAACTCCGGTTTCTTCCTTCCAGCAAAACACTCCGGCAGAGGGATGTGTCAAACATCCCAATGCAAGACCCTCCTGAAAAAGTCTTAAGAAGACTGAAGATTTCCGAAATAAACTATGGCCCGATTATGATAAACAAGAAAATGTATTTGATCACATGATGCACACACCGAGTGCTTTCGGTGTTAACATTTGAGTGAACGTAGGCTGCAGATACAACGATAACTATCGTCTAAAGGGCCCCGAGCGAAAACTGACTTGAAAATGCCAATTAAAATAAAGTGCCGCAATAATTAATGAAAGCTCTGTTCCTACCAGGTCTGACACAAAAAGGAGGTGGTGAAATTATTTTACCTTCAAGTGTTTGAATGGGTGTGAACATGCGCACGTCACTTACATTGAACAACGCACATCATGAAGTGCTGAGGAAACACTAAAATAGTTTATTATTTTAAGCACAGGAAATAGGTGCAGCCGTTTAAACTCAGTCGTTAACTTTTAGCAATTTTTTTTGGCAGGTTCTAAGAACAACGTCCACACAAAACATACAAAAGTAGGTTACAATAAAGCCGCCGTACAATTTTCCATTCTTGCTCGGATTGCTCTCTTCCAGGGGGTGCAAGATCAAACTAAATCTCAGTGGTTTCTTTCAGTCTGCGTGTTTATAAATACTCGCACCTCAAACATGCATTCTAATGTAAAGTTCACATTTCTTGATGCAGTTTCCCATCGTCGATCACAGGATGCTTTGTAGCCACTTGTGCCGGATAGGTGGCAGCTGCTCGTACAGATCAAAGCCCAGGCCATCGGAGGCATTGGGGAGCTTGTAGAGAAGCAGGTGGCTTCGCAGAACCTGCACAAAGCACAGAAAGAGAGGACATTCAGCAATGTCCTTCATCTCCACTACCGCTCTCAAATGTGTTTGGTCAACCCTGCCCCAGCTCAAGGTACTCAGCAATTACACATTCCTGCGGAGGGAGCTGGTAGGAACGTTGGTTTGCTCGGTCAATGGCCAGGGTCAACGGTGGCGTGGTGTATTCCGCAAATATGTCCGACTGTGAGGGCGGGCACAAGCCGGCGTGAGTAGGTTAAACGTTGAGTTTTATAAGGGCACCACGGGGTGACCAGCCCTTCCCCACCCAGCCCCACCCAGCCCCTCCCCACCCTCCCCACCCAGCCCCTCCCCACCCTCCCCACCCAGCCCCTCCCCACCCTCCCCACCCAGCCCCTCCCCACCCTCCCCATCCAGCCCCTCCCCACCCTCCCCTCCCCACCTTGCCCCACCCTACCCACCCAGTCCCTCCCTCTCCTCCCCACCCAGCCCCTCCCTCCCCACTCAACCCCTACCTGCACGACAGACGGACGAACACAATAATCCCCTGTGGGCTGGTGTAACCAGGAGGTTCCTACCAGTATTACAACTATTTCGCTGCTTCCAGCAGAAGGCATCCCTCGTCAAGTGAAACGCTTTGATTGTTATTCCAATGGGACACAGGGTGATTGTAACGTCTCATGCTGGTTTTAGAGTAATGTGTCTTCACGACAAATAAGGCTGTACATTTTAAATGGAGGAAAACAACAAGTCTCATTATTTCCTAACTTTACGCTTGGATGCCCTTCATTACAGTCATACTTTGTAGTCGATCTTGAAACGTTTGCCTAATTTTTTGCACCACTGAAGGCTGACTGGAACGTTTAGCATAACAAACGCTAATGGTTCCAAAAACCTGAGCAATTCGTACTCGTGAAACCTACTCAAAGTGGTCACCACCTCTGTCAATCCAGTAGTGGATTGACGAAGCGTTGTCAATTATTTTAGTTCGCATTAGTTTATCTGAACACATACTTTTACCAGCAATATGGTTTTCTTGCCTTGTTTTGTTAGGAGTGTCATCTGAGAGTATTAGCTAAGATGGTTAAACCAGGTGGTGAGATACATTACAACTCAAAATTAATCTTACCTTATCTTGAAGTGCATTAATTTGCCTCAACATGCGCTTCTTCATTTTCAGAACGTCCTTTGGAAAAAACAGAACGATGGAGACAATGTCGTAAATGCTAATCGGGTAATAGTGCTGAAAGGAATACAGCACGATGACGAGCAGAACATTTAATTTGAGCGAGGTGCAATTCCACACATCCGCTAAACGCTTGCAAAAACAAATGGGCTTTTCCTTGCATTACCAAAAATACCACCCAGCTCCCCAGGAACGTGCCACCCATTGTCACATTCAGCCCTGCCACGTGGGGTCTCATTATTGCATTCAAGTGACACGGCAATCACAGCCCACAATGCCAGGCACCACGTGACACCACTCTCACGACTTATGTCCTTGCAGAACACAACCCACGAATCAACAGAAGAAACATCAACCAAATGCCACCTTCGTTTTCAAAAGAATTCAAGTTGAAGCTGTTTCCCCACTCAAACCAGCATGGCTCGTAGCTCACCTGTCGTTTACAATCATGTGCTAGTGGTGAAAATTCCACATTCCTATGGCAGGAAAGAGACTATCCAGTGGGCAATCACTGTCAACTTCCTGCAAACTGGTACCAATTTTAGTGACCCCAAAGCTGGCTCTGTCGGTCAAGCGAGGTCGTGGTAATTTATTTTGTTTAAACAGATTAGAAGTCAAGTGACCAGGACAATCTCTTCATTGGAACCTCATTTGCCAGAAAAAAATATAATTGTTTTTTACCCTTCTATCAGGCAACAAAACTGACACCTTTTTTTTTTTTACAAGGAATCATGTTTGCATAGACCACAATACCTGCAGTCATAATGCAAACAAAAAACATAACTCTGATAATGTATGCACTGTCCTTGAAGTTGATTGGTCCACACCCGAGGCAGCTTTTCTTAGAGCCTAGTCTCACATGGGTTGGAACAGATAGAAGGGTAAAAAAACAATTATCATATTTTTGACTGGCAAATGAGGTTCCAATGATGTAAATGCTTACCCCGAGCTCTCATACTCTGATGGTGAATTGTCTTTGAGTTGTGCGCCATTTGGCGTCATCTGGTCCAACCCATGTGAGACTAGGCTCTAAGGAAAGCTGTCTCGGGTGTGGACCAATCAACTTCAAGGACAGTGCATACATTATCAGTTATGTTTTTGTTTGCATTATGACTGCAGGTATTGTGGTCTATGCAAACATGACTCCTTGTAAAAAAAGGTGTCAGTTTTGTTGCCAGGACAATCTCATTTGCAACAGTGACCTCGGTCACCAAAATGACAAAAGCAGAACAAATAATAAACAAGCAACTGTATCACAAGAGGAATTTAAAATATTGCAAATGTAATTCCCGACAGCGCTGGCAGTTTACCTCCAGATCGAACACCATCTGGAGCATAATCTGAACCTGCCGTTTGTATATTTCGCACCTCCAATTAGCACAGTTGGCTATGTACGGCGCAAACGACGTTCAGCAGTAGAGTGAGAGACTCGCCATAGAAATGTTGCCCGTTCAAAATCCCGGTTGGGGGTTGACTCAGCCCATCATCTCAGAGGAGTGGATAAAAATAAATACCACTTTGTGGGAAAGTCAACAGCAGTCGACCTATGGGGGAGTCTCGCTCCTGCCATATATCTCACCAGCTCAGGGCTGTAAACGGCAGATGAGCACCACCTCAATGCTCAACTGAAAAGCAGGAAATCGCTTTGACTTTCGAGTTCTTTGTAGCAAAGATCACAAAGACGGGAGTAGAGGGCCGACGGAGTTTTGGCGACGCTGCCCGTACACGTACTCACCTGGTCGCCGTGCTCCTGCGAGAAGATGAAGGCGTTGATGTGATGCAGCGCCACGGCATAGAGGACAGGGCACCAGGCGGTGCGCAGCGAGCCCATCACCAGCGTGCGGAAGTAGAGCCGCAGGAGCCCTACGTGCGTCTCCGCCGGCTCGGTGTAGCGCCCCAGGCCCACAGGGAACTGCGCACACACGGGCGGCGTGAGCTCTCCCGCCAACCACGGTACACGCAGCAACGATTTCCTTGCATTCATTCACAAATACACTTACAACACGCACGATTTGAAAAAAAAAATTTGCGTTATAAAGTTTCTAGTCGTTGTTTAACCGATATATATTTTAATAATCTAATTTTAATTGTTTACCATTTCTGACATAATTACAGGTGTTAAAATGTTCAAACACCAAATAGATACCAATTACAAAGGCATCAATGTCTGCGTAGCCACACGTACTTGTGGTAAAAACTACAAACACATTTTTTAATAGTGTATTCACTGTCCTTATTCAATAAATTGGTAAAACGGTCCCATAGCCATTTGTTTATTCTGTAATGCAATGGAACAAAGCTGTTATACACAAAAAACTTACTTAAATAATAATAGTAAGGATATGCACTTCATCTCCCCAGCAAAGCCTCAACGATTCTCAAGATTTGAGTGTCAAGACTTTTTGAGGAGGGTGCTTGACTACGACAATTGGCAAGCGCCATACAAGAGATAAAGTGATCAATTCACAAATTAAATAATCAGCCTGAACAGTGACAATTGACTGAATCGTCACGTCGTTGCGCGCAGCCGGAGCGGCCACCTGCTTGATGGGCACGCCGAGCGAGCGCAGCGCCCCCTCGTGCTCCCCGAACAGCGCCAGCTTGAGCCGGACGTCGAAGCGGCGCTGCAGCGGCAGCAGCACGAAGGCCCCGAAGAGAGCGTCGCCGAACGACGTGGCCTCGAACTGCTCGAGCAGCTCCACGTACAGGTCGTAGAAGGCCGGCACGCCGGCGACGGGCCCATCGAGCCGCAGGACGTCGAGCGCACGGGGGCGGCAGTAGAGGCTCAGCAGGGCGGCCAGCCCCGCGCGCACCGGCGGCTCCAGGA